ATTTCGCACATGTGTGTTCGTTGCTGGTTTTCGCTTTCCATGGCTCGCGAGATGTTCGCGAACCGTTCGATGTAGATATATTTTCAACGAGCTGTACGCGTACCGTTCGTATACCGTTTGGCTCGCATATCTGTACGCGCCTTTACACTTACACCAGCAATCAGCTGGATGTGCTGATTAGGGATTTTTGTTACTTGACCTTGTATACACAAAAGGTTCATTCATTTGGAGGTATTTTATTACTCATATTTCAGGCGACAAGTCTGAATTATTTATCTACCCAAAAATATTTATTTCAAACTGAAAAGAAATTTGCAATTGTTTGAAAAACAGGTAAATAATGATCAAAAAGGGATTATGGTAATTGGATCGACTATTTATGTATAAAAACAGTATTTATAAGAAATCTAAAATATATAACATTAATTATTAATAATATATTTATAATAATTATTATAATATTATAATATATAATAACAATTTTTTCATATCGAATGTCAACAGGGGAAGTGTTTTCCTCAGAAAATTTCAGATTTTCATCTCGTTTCTAATTATGACTCAGATAAATATTAAAGTAAATATCAATAATCTTATTTTCTTCCGGAAGTTAATCGACAAAATTTAATCGATCATTACATAATATTGTTTTGTCTATAAAAATTAAATTTGTTAAAAATTTAATAAAACGAATTGTTTTTATGTTTATATATTATGTAAAAACCAGTATAATCCCGCAGTAAACTTTACTGACCATAGTTTGACTTTTAACCACGATTATATAACGTCAGGGTGCCAAGGAAAAAAATGGTATACTTGTATATTTAAGACATTGTTCCCTTATACAATCATGATTGAACATAGAAACAAAGTCAAACGAAGCCACAATATTAACTACTGGGAGGGACCGCCTTGCTAACAAAACCACGTGATTCGTTACTATAGTTACTGCATAACTCATAGACAATTGGAATAACCACAAAACTAGTTTTCAATGTTTTGCAGATTTTTCTTAAATCCGGCAAACGCGCATCTATCGCTATTTAATACATCAGTGCTGCCTTCTACTAAATGACACGTGAACTTATTTTCTCATCTGTTAAGTGATAGCTGAACTAATTTCTCACTATCAAAATGCCAACTTATTACAGTAACATCAACAAAATCCCTAGTTTGCAGCTTTTAATTATAATTTTATCTTTAGGTACAGTTAATTTAAAAATTACGGCAGTATAGATAACAAACATTTGCTTAAAATAAAGGTTTTTGGATAGTTAATCATTTAACGTAGTTATTTTGCACCTAAGTTCAATAATTATTTTACAATACCAATTTTTAGGCACGTTACCACGTAAGTTATGACATGGATGCATTTAAGTACAGTTATGAAAAAAATACTGCTGTTTTTGAAAATGTTAACTAGATATCATTAAAATAGAAAGTTTACAGTTTACGTACATAATCATAACTTGAAGATCTGTTTCGAAATAGTGACGATAACTGTACCTAAAAAGTATATCAATTTTAACATTGTGACATACCACCTTATATACCTTTTATAAAGGATTTTGATAAATTTTTTGTGATACATGTATACAGCCAGCTATAGGAACTTGTGAACTTTCCTTGTGGAAATAAAAGTTTATGCAGAGTCAGTAGCAGGGCGTCGACACCATTATTGTAGGTAGAGCTCATTGCAAATTTGATGAGTTTCTGGTGATTTATTATTTTAAAGCTTTTTAATGGCTTATGTAATCTCTTCAATTGTGGTGGTCTTTCGGTTGGGTTGATTAGATTCCAATCACTTCCTTCTGCTAGGGTGTTATCTGCTTCTCGATATGATGGCCATTAAATTTTGCATCGAAAAATTTAACCCATATGTTCAAGATTGAGGCCGTATAACTTCGCTCATTTTATTATAATGATTGTAGAACTTTCTAGCTGCTTTTAATCAAATTGCCTTTTTTTCTTCTATGTAATCGTTTTTCTTCTTTTCTTAGGGTCCGGTATTTCTCATTTGCTCTTCTTGTGCATCCAGATTGATTTGTCTTTGTGTATGCTCTATTTTTGGTATCTGTTGTTTCTTGACACTCCTTGTCAAACGACTCGTTTTGTTTATCTGGATTGGTTTTCCCCATTATTTCCGTTGCTTTTAAGTTATTATGTTTCCACATTTTACCCACAATTCCTTCACGTTTTCCTTCGCCACCAGGCTCCCCATTTCCTCATCCATTTGTCTCCTATACTCTCTCGCAATGGTTTCAGATTATCAACATTAATTCTGTCTTGTTTTGTAGCATTTCAAATCACCTTGTATAAGTTAAAACACTGAAATATTATTTCAATCCTTTTTGCATCGCTTGAGTTGATATAAACACATTTTAAAGTTTGTTTATATATCACAGATGTGTATTTCCTCGGTATTCTTTTGATCGAGAGCCGCTTTTAGGATATTCTGGGTGTCAAATAAATAGGAATTTAATCGTATATGTTTTGTTTATAACGAGTTGGGCGAATGAATTTTACCGCCTATCAAAGGCAGTTAACTTCAGTGTTGGTCCGAATTTTCATCTAATTCGAAATGGTTTTTCCTCATTGTTTTTTTTTTGTTATCGGGAATAGTAAAGCTTGGTACTATGTAGCAGTTAAATGTGTAGTTACAGTGGTTTGGGAGAATATTTAAATAGAAAAGACGCAGGCGTGTGTCGGCGTTAAGAACCGATAAATTTGTTCTCAAAAAGTGATTTATACTCAATGTAATGTGTCAGTTTTAATAGAGTAATCACTGTTTCTCTATTTCTAAGTATCTAAGAGATTTGCGGCGTTTACAACAACTTTAAAGGATAAACAAATGTTGCCATTGTGTCCAGTTGTATTCCAGTTTTTAAGAACCAGAGTGTAAAATTTTGCATCCCAGTGAACAGCTTCCAGCCTTATTTTATTTATCCTAAGCTGTTTCAGAATATATCCGCAGTTTGGAGGTGCATTTGTTTGTGTTTGCAGTCTAAGTCCAGTTCCTAACCCCAGAAATTTTAGTGAAATCCAGGTAACTTTTTTGTGTCGATTTTTAAAGTAAAAATAGACATTTTCTGTTAATAATTGCTTTCAGAACAGTTTAAGAAATTGTAATAATTAAAATTATAAATGTTAGGATGTGGCCTAGCTGTCATATTAATTATTCTCAGTTTTAAAATTCTGTATTGACATATGACAGTTAGCTTTATTTTTTTTTGACATTAGGTTGTTTTTTGTTAAAAAAAAGGTTAATCTCTATGTAAAGTTTCATTTAAAAAGCTATTTTTCATTTCTAATTTTTTCCGTTACAAATTGTCGCCATTAACAATTGTAATTTTTTGTAGTATCTCCAACTTCTAGAGTTTGTAAATGGATGGTAACATAGTAAGTTTGTTTTTTTGTATTTTATTATTACTATTTATTTTTGTAACTGTTTGTGGTGAGACAGCAACAAATCATTTTTTCCCTAAACCAATTTGTTTATTTCTTATAAAAAAGTTTTTAACCCCTTTTTATATTTTTTTTTAGGAAGAAAGAGCCTTTTCTTTCATCTAGCAGGAAGACTCTTCAAAGCGGCGTCCTTTTTTTAATTACCTTGAGAACCTTCTTGTGTTCTGTTTGTCCAGGAGACTAATGTAAGTACCATTTTGTTTCATTTTTGTAGTTATTCCAATCCAGCCTCCTTGCCATTCACTTATCCACGACACAGTTCTCCAAATAAACCCTGAGTGGCCGTTCGTAGACGTTTTGGTTTGTTTTGGTTACCCTGTCTCCATCCCAGTAATTTCTGTCCCCATTTTTCAACCCCTTATAGTAATACCCTATGTGGTAGGCAAAATAATAGTTACAGTTTTAAATGTTTATCCTCCTTTAGGTTTAATATTCTTCCTCTGATTTCTGCCATTACAATAAAGTAGTCACTATCTATGTTTGGTCCTCGTACCTACTCTAGCTTCTGACGTACATGAGTTTCGAAGAATGCCTTGAATACCATAGATTTTTGAAAAATACTGAAAACCTGCTTTTCAGTTTTTCGATCCAACATAAATTTCGTGAAATATTCGAACGTTCAGTTTCTTTTGGCATGTTATTTATTTGAATGTTATGGCGATAAAACTAAAACTTGTGGTATACCTTGTTAGTTGTATTGAGATCCTATCAGCTTATTATTATGATCTCTGACATAGAACCCCCTCAGTAAAAGAGTTGATAGTTATGTTTATAAATGAAATGATGTAGAAACTAATTTTCTGGGAGTAAATTCTCTTTTTGTAACCACCAATATAGTCTAAATTATATCTAAGACTCTCTATACTCTCTAAAGTTTTAAATTTAAAAAAGACTTAAGGATAGAAGCAACATTTGGTAAATTGACTAATATAGAATATTTTATGTGGTCGATTCCAGGAAAAATGTTCCTAAGGTTTTTATCTGATTCGGTTTAAAAAAAATTAACAACAGTGATTGTTTGTGTGACAGATTACGTAGAAGAATGTGAAGGACGGGATACTTTAATAATGAAGTCCTCTAATAGAAATTCATTGAACGATGTTATTTTATATTTATTTTGTTGGCCTGTAATCATATCTCCTGGTGGGATACTTTTGCGCAAATTAGAATACCATTTGATCCAACTAGATTTAGAATTTTAATTCAGCTGATTTTTGTGTGAGCGGTAACTTTTTGACTTTTAGATAGTTATCAAGACCGTTATGGGTAAATTTGTATCTTTTCTTTCGTTAATAATTACATCGCGTTCTCTGTCTAACCATTGTGGCTACAGTGCATGACCTGATGATGGGGCATATATTGTATGATAACCTAGAAATTCTACAACAATAAAAAACTAACTTAAGATTGTGAGGATGGACTTATCTCCCTAAACATTAGTCTTCTTTTATTATACCGCTTCTATCTAAGATTAGAGACTTTCTTGATCTTATAGAGCCCTACTAAAGAATTTTAAATATATGAAAATCTAAACATACCATTATAATAACTATATCCATCGACATTGAAGGTAAGGTGAGTGCCCTTTTTACTAAATACATGTAACGGCTCGGGATATTTTGGCAGAACGTTGCCTGGAGCAGCGGCGATCAAAATTAATCTTCTCCTAGTTTGAGGGATGCCATACTGACCAGCTTGGAGTATTCCAAAAGTTACTTGATATCCCATGGTAAGAAGGCACCTTAGTGTCAATTTTAAAACCATACTTTTTTTAAAGGATACAAAATTTCTAACGTTTTCTAATATAAAATATTCTGGTCTGAAAAAAAAATGATTATACACTCCTTATGTATTATGTTACTTTAAAAATATTTGTTTGATATAATTCGATAATTGTATTATAAAGTATCAAAAATATTCAGCTATTTTAATATATTTTCTGTGATTCTGTAACCATATATTATTTACCAAGAAAAAGTATAAAATTGTTTTAAAAATAGAATTTAAATAACCTGAACACCTTCATAACTCACTCCGATGTTGCAAACCACTCCCGCTAACGTCGCAACCTACGCACACAAAAACGAGTCAGTGCTTTTGATGCGTTTACAATACTTTCGACGTTTTTCTTACGCTCTCGGCATTTTTACGATACTTTAAACACTTATGTTACTACTTTTTCACGCTTTTGTGGCGGTTAGCTGTTAGAAATATGACATTTCAAACATCGAAAACGCGTCATAAGCGGTGGAATATCGTCCAAAAAGAGTTAAATATATCTAGTGATCCTGCACTAGCGGCGGTGGGCGTGGTTTGTAACGTCATGAGTGTGAGTCGGTGGAGGTGTCCCAATAAATACTAATGTGTAACTCACCTATAATATTCACATAAACTTAACAAGGAAACAACAAGAGAATTCTTAAACGAAGAGTAATTTCTAGAATTGAATCTATTCATTCCTGAAAACCCTTGACAAGGTGGTCCACCCACTATCATCTCGACTTCTCCTTTTCAGGTAAACCTTTTTCTTTGGCTTCGTTATTCACTATCAACTTTAATAAATTATTGCAATCATCGTTGAATACTTTACAATTTGGATTGTTCAATTTGAAGGCATTTGCTGCAGGTACTTCTTTTTCGATCTAAAAATCATGTTTCAATTAAAAAAGGAATGAAATTAAACTGTCGATCATTATTAATGTTCAATACAATCTACATAATGAAGTTCCTGTTAGGTTTTCCCGCAGGCATTACTTGTATTTAAATAGCCACATCGAGCACTGCGACCCCTATCTCTCATCGAACTACTCAAGCATCATCCGACCCAATTCACTCGCACATTTGTAATTCAAAATCATAGATACACTTTGGACTATAAACGTATATAATTTGGAGCTTCGAATCAAGCTCTAATAGATCTAGTGTCAGCGAAATGAGTCCGTTAGCCTGCTGAACATCAAGCCAAACAAAAACACAATACTAAAAATAAAATCATAAAAATCATACGAATAAGCTGAATTTTGTGGAGAATATTAATTTTAGGACCCAAAAGTACCACTTTTACCGCCGAGCTTTCCTTTAAACTCACCTTCTAGAGGGGTAAAAACACAAAAAAATCGATTTACCAATAATCTGTACGCCGTAGAAAAAAACGTTTTAAATAAAAAATGTACCTGAGATTATTTTAAACAAAAATGTTTATAAGCACTTTTTGTGTAAAATGAATCGTTCTCTCGCAAAAACCGCTTGAAGTGACCATCGATTTTGAATGTCAGTTACGCGCGCGAAATCAATGTTCAATAAAATTTGCATCAGCTCGATGGTAAAAATTCGATATCTTTTGATTCAAGTGTCCTATCGATAAAAATCAAGATTCGTTTTAAAAGTGAAGAGTTCAGCTTTTGTATGCAATTTTTATATTTTGCCCCAAATAAACTCAGATTTTATAAAGCTACTGTGAAGTTTCGATTACTAGAGCCTAACCTTCAAAACCTATAGCATGAAATATTCGTTTTGAGGTTTGGCAAAAATGTAAGGCATTTGAAATATGCTTAAAAACGCTATTTAAACTTTCACATAACAAACAATCTAAAACATTTATCAAAAGAATTAAAATTCACAACAACCTAAACGATACGCTACTGTGTGTGTACTGAGTGATACATCTCTTTCTAACCTACGGCTTCGGGTATCTATTGTTCTTTTCTACTGGTCAACATATGTTTTATGAGACACTTTAACAAGTGAGTTATTCTGTGACTATTTGACTATATGTGAATTATTGATATAGAAGTTGACAAATTATCTATAATCACATCCTGGCACCAGTGTTGTCAAAAAACTCAAATTCTTCAAACTCATTTCTTACAATTTAGTGCCTAGAATATTGAAACTAGTAGTAGTATTGATAGTTTTTATATTAGGGCCCAATGGATCTAATTCCTGAATTAACTGTTGTTTGAGAGCTTCCGAAAATTGCACGATATCTGAAAAACTCTTTAACATCTATCTGTTTAGGTAAATTCCGAAGTTTAGTAATATCAACTGTTTTAGTTTGTTCCTTTTTCAGTTGTGGTTCCAGCCAATTTCAATACCGGGATATGTCTTAACACCATGATATCCATTTCTAAATTTGTCTCGAATGAGTTTAAAATCTTTTTGATTTTTGATGATATTTAACTCACTATGTTGCAGGGACTGTCAAATAGAGTCTATGAGGTGGAAGCTTAAAGCAGGTGTTCATTATTATAATTTTTTTTTTCGTGACAGAATTATATTAATGTATCGCTTCGCTCATTACGTTCTCCCAAACTATACTCACCAAAATATTTTTCGACTCTGCTTTTTCCTATTTTGGCGTATAATCCCCTAAAACTACAGTTGGGTCATTTTCCTGACTGCGCAAGCCTTAGACTGTAATAACAGAGTTCTGTCTGAATTTGTATTTCAATTTTTCCTTAGGATTACACCAACGCCATTCAAGTGATTTACTAAATACAAAGTAATAAAATCTGTCTTTTCAATGTTGCCGTTTTCCTTTTTCTCTAACTTACTTATTGCGATGGTTTCAACTGACATCTAGCTTCCCTCCCTTGTATAATAGGTTACGGATATTCAACGTACCTATAGGTATAGCTGCTTTTTTATTTGAATTCTTACTTTTGGTGGTTCCTCCTCGCGGGATAGCAAAACCATCTTACCATCAAAGATCTGTCGAGGACTGGGGGGCCATCGTGTTCGTTTTCGCCATGAGGACATGTTCTAAGGAGAAACAGTGCAGTAGTCTTCCCTTATTTACCTAACCTAACCTAACCATTCTGACCCATTTGATATCTGCATGTGTTTGATTATGGCAGATCAGCTGTTAACTCTTATAGGATAATAACACTTAGTAGAACGCTTAGTGAAAGTGTAGTAGGACATCGGCCAGTAGGACGACCAAGGAAGAGGTAAATAGGCGAAGTGAGAACCGATTTTTGAGATATATTGAGGGTGGATATCTGGAGGAGGTAAGGAAAGGGGTGCATAGAGGCGGATGCTGGGGGAGGCCAGGGCCTAACTAGAGCTGTAGCGCCATAGGAGAGAGCTGCCAACTTGCACCTTTTTTAATTATGAGTACTAATCCTTTGTTTACTATATGTCAATTAATTGACTACTTTGAGACATTTATGATTTTTGGATTACAGGTTTTTCGCCTTTTACAGAATGTTAATTTTTGTAAGAATCTGGAGTCAAATCTGCACAATTTCATATAAAGACAAAAGTGGAAATAGTAAGTTATAAACGTATCATAAGAAATTAATATGTAACTATAAATTAAAAAGAGAAACAGGAAGGAAAAGATTATGTTTTACTAATGCTTACTTACCGCCCACCGTGAATCGGCAATATTACTCATTTTCAATCCTTCTGAAAGACCTCCACAACCAGCAAAAACATCCATACATCTTAGTGGTCTATCGATTTTATCCCACACGGGTGGTAAGTCCGCAATATCGTTTTCTTGTTTCGCTTTACCTTTGATTTTGCCGCCGCCTAAAAACATTGAAGAATAATACATTACCTCAATAAAACATACATACATAATTTAGTGTGTGAACCGATTTGACTGAAGTTTTTTATGTAATGTGTAAATGTGTAAATTTTAAATAAAATAAAATAGTTTTTGATTTTTAAAATGCAATTATTTGAAAAAGTTGTGTTTTTTTCTTCAAGACCTATGTAGCTAATCTCTAACTCCGTAACATGCCGTATACTAAAAACGTTACGAATCGAATCTGTAGTAAAACTTCAGAAAACCGACTTGAAGTCATCTTCATACCAACAAAGACAATATAAGAAAATATTAGATTCAAGACAACCGTTATCCACTCCAAGAATTTACCGTGATCAGGGTAATAAATCAGTGTACATTGGAATGATAAATATTTATTAAACAAGAGTACAGCTGACGTTTTGGTCAATGCAAAAAATTAGCTGTTGCAAAACATACCCTCCCACAAGACAACTACCAAATTTTATTTGAAAAAACATAAGCGCGAATTAGAACATGACCTTACTATCCACGGATATACATAAAGTCTATGAAAATCAAAATCACCTATTTAAATTTAATTGTAATCGAGGGAGATTATCAGAGACAGCAACAAACAATTCCAACGACGAATTATAAACTCTGAATACAATGTATTCTCTATACAATGTATCATTATGTATTCTTATTCATATTTTTTAAGAAATCCATAATACATGGAAAATGTATACTAAATTTTAGGATATGAAATTTATATATTTATATTTATGTCTTCACACTACACATCAGCTGATAAAAAAAATGTTTTGATTGATGTTCATGTAAAAAAATAATTAAAAAAAACTTACCTTTTCCTTTTCCTCTTATGCCTATATTTTTTGCATTTGTGGGAAGCTCTTTTATCTTCTTATTTTCTGGATCGTAAGCTTCGGTGAAATAGAAACGATATGGGCCTAGTTCAGACCATTCTGTCGGAGATTCAAAATTGTAGCCGTAAGACAAATAGCATTTGCCCATTACTTTGTTAAATGGCACAGTAATCACTAAAAAAAAGTATCTAAATAATCTTGACAATAAATTCAACTTTTATCACTTCTACACAACTACAGACGATGTTGTACGTAGACCATACGTTAGACACATCTTAAAAGTCGGTTTTGAAGTCTGAAAATTTGCATTTTCGCATAACTGATCTGATGCAAGCTGATCATAAGTGTAAAATATTAAGAGTACGCTATCACTTAAGGTAATACCGGAAGTCGCCATGTGTCTATCTTTCTATCTGATATTCGCTGGCTTTTTTAATTAATACCTTCATATTTACCATATGGTCACTTGTAGTGAAGCCCTTCCTAAAACTGGTCTGCTCTTTTTTGTCTGGCAGTTATTTAACTTAGTTGTTAATCTACTTTTAATTAGTACTTTAGTTAGCAGCTTGTATATTACATTGAGCAAAGGGATTGATCTATAATTTTGTATGTCCTTCCTGTCCCTTTTTTAAATATTAATAATAGGATTGTTGCTTTGTTCCTTCAGGTATTAGGTATTTGTTTTGTGGTTTGTGTTTTGTTTGTATTGTAGTAATATCTGGTTTTAAATATGTGTTTACAAAATAAAGTGTTCCCGAAATATATTTAGTTAAAAACCAAAAACCACAGCCCCGCTGCACAAAAAGGGATTCATCACGGTCAGACCAGATGGCTTCAACAAGACAGAAAATACTGGGATACTGGGATATAATAGCTGTTTATCTTAAGGTATGTCATTAAGAATTAAATTATAGATTAAATAATATAGAATTTGACATCCTAGATTCTAACGTGAGAATTAATATAGATAATATAATAGATAAAAAATTCAATACACAGTGTAAAAAACTAAATAATCTAATTTCCAATAGTAAAAAACCCAATATTCATTATACAAAAAGTTTTTCGAACCATACTTTTTTCAATAGATTTATAAATTTAACAGATACTAAATTTAGGAACAGCGAGATACAACTTTTAGAGAAAGGATTTAAACACAACTTGCCCCAACATAATAATGAGAGAACTTTAAAATATTTAGCTGTAGAATGTGAAGTAGCGTTAAATAAAACTGCTAACAATATCGAAAAAAGTATAATTGCCAAATCTATTACAGATGTGTGTAGTGAAAGTAAGAATTCCTGTTACAAAGAGAATAAAACAGCAATTTCAATTAAAAATAAATCAATAGAAAACAACATTGTGTTTACAAAAGCAGACAAAGGTAACACTACTATTGCTATAGATAAAATAGAATATAATAACAAAACAATAGAATTCTTAAATAATCAAAATATTGAAACTTTACACAAAGATCCGACAGAAAAATATCAAAAACAAATTAAGCTAGCGTTAGAAAATTCAAAATCAATACTAAATCCAATAGAACAGAAATACCTCAGTATCATGAACCCACAGCCTCCTAAATTATATTGTTTCATTAAACTACACAAACCGGATCACCCAATAAGACCGGTAGTTTCTTTTTATACAGCTCCGTCATATAAAATTCCAAAAAACTGTTAGAGATTATTTTAGATCACACTAAATTTTCACCTAAATTTACCATAAAAAATACAATAGAACTAGTTAATAAAATACAACATTTTCAATTACCTAACAACTCCAGATTAATTTCATTTGACGTAAAAAATCTTTTTCCTAGTATCCCTCCTACAGAAACTTTTATTCTAGTAAAAAACCTTTTAGACCAAAATAGTACAAATTCAATAATTACATCTGAAATTTTACATCTTCTTGAAGTTTGCATAAACCAGGACTACTTTGAATTTAATAATAAAATTTATACAAATAACAGTGCAGGACTTATAATGGGTAATCCTCTAAGCCCATTGCTATCAGATATTTTTATGGATCATCTAGAGACAAAGATTTCAAAACATCCCGTATTCAAACAGTTTTTATATTGGTGGAGATACGTAGACGACGTACTGGTATGTTTCACAGAAACTAACAGACAACTCGACCAATTTTTATCATATATTAATTCACTTCATAATCATATTGAATTTACAATAGAAACAGAAAAAAATCAATCCATAAATTTTTTAGATTTAAAAATTAGCTTATCATAGTATGTTACATAGATTAACAGAAATTCCGATGTCAAAATACAACTTTGAGACAGAATTAAATATAATTAAGCAGATAGCAGTAAACAACGGATACAACGAACAAACAATTAATAAAATGTTAAATCAAAAACTAGACAAGAAAGCCCTGAAATTAGTATTTCCACCACCAGAGAAAAAACCCAGTACCTTCTGCTCGATTACATATACAGGCAAAATAACAACAAAAATTGCCAAACACATAAAAAAGAAAGGAATAACACCAGCTTTCCGAACAAATATACCTAGGCAAATATATTAAAAATAACAAGAGCCAAAATAAAAAACACTTAAATAGTGGTGTGTACAAACTTCAATGTGGCGACTGCCCAAAAACTTACATCGGTCAAACTGGTAGAAACTTTGATAAACGAATAGCAGAACATAAAAGGGCTTTCAAGAATAGAAAAACAGATTCGACATACGCACTTCACCTTCTAGATCATAATCATTCTTTTAATAACAAATTTAAAATTCTTCACATTCAATATAAAGGCCTTAAGCTATCTTTGTTAGAATCTATGGAAATCAACAAATTAAAAAACACAGATATAATTCTGAATGACCAACTTGAGACAAACAGTTCTCCCCTCCTCAACCTATTTCATTAGAGACTATAAATTTGTAAACCCAAGCCAAAATAGATCACTTGAGAAAGGCAATCAGCCGAAACAGCTGTAGTGATAATATTTAAAATAAATTTTGTGGAAATTTGAAAACAAAGTTTTCAGTGTTTTATTGTTACATAGAACGATATCAGCTGCAAATTTAAGATTATTTAAAATTTTTCCATCTACATTAATGCCCTTTTCGTTCCAATCTATTGTTTTACAAGCGTATTCTAGCAAAGTTGTAAATAATTTAGGAGACATGTTGTCTCCTTGCCGAACCCCTCTTTCAATACGAAATTTCCTCTTACTTTTATAAAAACTACGGTGTCCCGTAAACCTCCTTTGGTTCATTATGGAAATGACAGTTATCTAGACTGCTCGGTAGTTTGCGGCTAACATTATGAAGCATTTTTTCGAATATGATGTATCTGTGATAAGAAAACTCAAAATGAATATTTAACGCAGAAAGAATTAGAAGTGGTAGCAAACCACTTTGATGCTGTGGTTCACAGTTGATGAAAACTGTGACATGCTACATGTATATAATTTAGTCAGGAAAAATATACTTAGCCCGCACACCCCGCTGCATGCGGAGAGATTAAGACTAACATATGACAACGTCAAATAAGAACACATATTTGGTTTTCAATCAGCAGATTAGCTCAAAATCGTATAATGAATATATGCGATAATTTTGCCTTACCTTCATCACTATAAAATAAATAATTCAAATCCTTTGTATATACCGAAAGCATGGAAACAAAAGTATGCTCTGGTCTAAAGAAGATTCTGACTTCGATCTTAATATCCTTATTTTTTGATTCTTTAATGTCTTCTATTATACCAATGACAAACGGACTGACGGTATTCTCGTTGGAACCTTTAACGCTTTCTGATTTCTTTCTAAAATACTCTGGATATAGGACAGCATCCAATTGATTTTCATTCTGTAAAATTCAATTATAAACAGTAAGTAGACGTTTAAGATCTGTGTTTTTAATGATTCACATTGTTTTCGAAGATTATAGGCCGTACTCTTGAATTAATTCTTCATAACTTTACAACTGCGACAGATTACTGCGATGCGGTAACAGTCGTAACTGCGGAAATTTGCAAAAACAACTCAATCGCTTAACAATATGAAAACAATTTAACATAAACATTAAATTTTCGATAAAAATCAACTAGTTTTATATCGATAACATTAATCGCAAATATTATTGGATATATCAAGTATTTAAATTAGTATTATATTTGAAGGGTGCAGGGAATAAAGGAGCAATGTCACTATTAGTCCATTTTTCAGAAAACTACATTTTCTATTTTTTATTTTGTTGTTTTCTATTTGTCTTATTTTAAGAGCTAGGACACCTCAGAAGATTATAAAATATTGTAATTTAATTAATTGTATTTGCCCAACACCGAAAGATACAAATGGGTCTACTGATTAAGTAAATAAGTAAGTACAATTTTTTTTTTCTTTTGTAATATTTAACTTGTATGATCCTAAACTCCCTTTTTTAACAGGTTGCTAAACAATTTAGTAAAATATGTTATATAACAGTATAAGTGTTAATTATATTAATTTAATAAAAAATGTTTTAAATTAATAAAAAAAAGAATGTTACTGCTAGTGCACAAATTAAGTTAAACAAGGCCTTTATTATTTTTTATTATAATTAAAAAACAATATACTTAAGAAGAATACTTATTTACTAATATGGTAAAGATTCAAAGTACTGCTGAGCTCTTTGGAACAAAATGCACACTACATCATCGAATTTTTCTTTAGGAGGTAGCAGCTGCCGATGAGATACTAAAGGTAACTGGAATGTCATTGGTTTTTTTTGCCCTTTGGAATCCCTGTATTTGAAACAAAATTTCCATAATACGTTGGACGATGAAAAGGAAGATTTTTGTGCAATTTTCAAAAACTTTTATAGGTCTTGTTTGAAATGGACATTTTTTAAAGAATTTGTTATTAAAATTTTCAGTCTCTCTCTCTCATTGAAAAAATCATATGTATGGTCTTAAGTCTCTTCTCTATGTGAACAAGATGATATAGAAATCTTGCCACTGTATAGTTTTTATTTTGGCCCCCACAAGAATCTACGAATATAAACAACTCTTCAACTGAAGGATCAAAGAAATTATGGACGAAATGGTGAAGGAGAGAAGACATTGTCTGCGCCTTTTATCCTTATTGTCTGTGGATACATATAAAAAACACTTTTATTGGAGGCTAGTGCGTGTATGTTGAACGTAAATACAGATAATTGTCTTTTGTAATATAAATCATTTATTGAAATGTTAGACATTGGCAAGTTTTTTTGGTAGTCAATGCAAATGATTTCGATTTTTTCATTGGTTTTGCATAGCCTTTTCATTTGCCGTTTTTTCTTGTAAAAAGCTTCTGCTTTCATGTTATGAAGTTTGCTTGCAGTGTAAAGGTTTTTCATCTGTTTTTCCAGAACAAGAATTGATTCGCTTGCAGTGAGGGGGGGGGGGCAAGTTAGCTTTTTCTTTCTCTAGTGATTTTAGTTTTGCAACGTATTCATCACACGTACTGCAACTATCTGTTCGGGGGTTCACGCATGAAATATTAAACTTATTCGTAAATAAAGTTCTGTAAGATTCGTAAGAAATGCGGGCTTCTTTGTACATTTCCATGTACATCTGCCACATTTTTTTAACGTTTAATTCCTCAGATAGGGACACTTTAGAGAATCCTTAAGCTATAATGGATTTTCTTCCTTTAAAGGAAGATATGTGTTCCATCACAGCAGCAGTAACAGCGGCAGATAGCCTACGAGGGCGATTAGCATGTTTACCTCTCTTATTTGTAGGTGCCTCTCCAGTTAATTTCAAAGATCGTTGCAATAACACTTCTTTCTTCCGATTCCATGAATAGACAGACAAGCTTTAGCGCAGATAGGTACGTCAGTAGTAACTTCGTCGGCATTTTTAAATCGAACTCTGTGAACATATGTTGAATCATGTAATTTTTCTGGGTCGGTCAAATCTTTTCTTCACCTCCGTTGTTTAATTTGTAAAGCTGTAATAAGACCACATAGGTATAAATTCTGTGCATCCTCTGAGTTAAGTAAATTAAAACTACGTATTATTAACTGTCTAGCGTCAGGTGATACAATTTCAAAGCAACGATATCTTTTGCACTTACAGTCTGGCCCTGTTACGTGACTCTGTAGTCGTTAGCCTTTTTACGAACCTCATTCATCCGCCCATTTTTTTTTTCGTTTTTTTTGTCTTTTCTTGTTTAGGGTTCTCTAAACTATCACTACTACTGTCTATAAAGTCACTCGCAAAAACTGTACTCATTTTTTTAATCAATAATTTAACGATATTATAGACTTAAATAAATTGCACACTGCTACGATGAATTCTTTAGTGCAACTAACAGCTCATGAAAAGATAAGTTGTAGAACGCATGGACTATGCGCCTTTATCCCTAGACTACCAAATATTTACTTGTGATTTTCTACTGACCTAACGCTTATATTCCCTGACGGAAGGTATTGATTTGGATAGATTGATATTAAACTAGCCTTTGATAGATGGCGCTACTTGATGCCGAATCGGTTTCGGTGTTGACATTCGGCCATTCATGACATGACGTCTGTCAAAATTTTAAGTTTTAAAAACAATTATTTTGGTTTTTACAGCCGTCAAAAGCAAGCAAACTTTGTGTTTTCGGAGAAATGGAGAAAGTCGAGTATCGTTCGGTGATTAAGTTCCTCCACAAAAAGGGTAAAACGGATGTGCAAATCAAAGCCGACCTGGATGAAGTTTATGGTGAGGTTTCACCTTTGTTAGCAATAGTAAAATTTTGGAAATCTGAATTTGTTCGTGGTCGTACGATTGTTTTTGATGATGAACATTCCGGAAGGCCAAATGAAGTCACCACGTCGGAAATTATCAACAAAGTCCTTGACATGATTATGGCAGATCGTCGAATTAAGCTCCGCGAGTTAATAGAGGTCCTAAACATTTCCTACGAACGCGTACACAACATCAGTCACCATTATTTGGACATGAAAAAGCTATCCGAGCGATGGGTGCCGCGTTTGCTGATGATCTATCAAATGTAAAAACATGTGACCACTTCGGAGACACTTTTAGAGATGTTATCTCGCGATCGGAAAGATTTTTTTCTCCGATATATCACTGTTGATGAAACCTGGGTGCATTATTACACACCGGAAACCAAAGAACAGTCGAAACAGTGGTGCAAATGCGACGAAGGGCCGCCGAAGAAGGCAAAGAGTGTACATTCGGCTGGCAAAGTGATGGCGACTGTTTTCTGGGATGTGAAGGGCATCATCCACATCGACTATTTGGAAAAAGGAAAAACAATCAGTGGTGAGTACTATGCAGCATTATTAGATCGAGTGGATGCCTAATTACGTGGAAAACGCCCCGGTTTGGAACGCAAAAAAAGTGGTCTTTCACCAAGACGATGCACCGGCTCACCGATCGGTCGTTGACATGGCAAAATTACACGAATTGGGCTATGAATTGGTTGAGCACCCACCGCATTTCCCAGATCTTGCTGCCAGGGATTTTTTCCTGTTTCTAAACCTAAAAAAATAGCTCGGAGGACGCCGTTTCGCAACGAATGATGAAGTTGTCGATAGAAAAAACTTGTTTTTTCTATCAAAGGCTAGTTTTATATCAATCCACCCTCGTCGTACTCCTAACATATAGCATGAAAATCTCGATTTTCGTAAAAGATGACATTGCGCCTTTATTCCCTGCACCCTTCATTGGTATATTTATGACAACAAATTGTTGGAATAAAATATGTTTTTCTACTGGTATATTAACAAGTAATATTTAATGCAACCATTTTTTATTAACTAAACTTGTCTTTGCATTAACTGATATGTTAAGAAGTGACCAAATCTGTAATATTTGTAATAATTCCTTTTGTTACATTTATGGGAAGTTTTGATTCTGCAAACTGTCATTAGATGCTGGTTATAGAAAATATTTTCCCTTTATTTAAAGTTATACTTAGTGACGGAACTGTCACTTAATCACATTTTCACACTTAGTGTGAAAATGTGATTAATAAAATATTCGTGTTTTCATTTTTATTTAAATATCTAAAAAAATAAATCTGAAACGATGATTTAAATTTCGAAGGAACTGCTTAAAATTTAATAAATTAATAGTACAATTTGGGTACACGTCAATGTTATTGTTTTTCTTTAATTAATCACTATATAGAAGTAAATATAAATTAAATCGATACAACTTCTTACAGTTTGATAATTATTATTATAAGTATTTAAAAAAACTTAAAATTCATTTTTTTTGGTGTTGAAATTGCTTTTAGAAACAAAAGTTATGCCAACATGTTATAATTAAACAAAATACTTACATTTTCTTTGGCAACTTTAGAGAAGTTGTTGAAAGTGTAAACCTCTGGATCTAAGAAGACTCCTGTACCTGTTTTATAATCTTCATTTTTCCACGTAATACATTTGTTTACTAAAGTAGGAGTCTGCTGTTTCTTAAACATTCCTTGCCGTCTAAAAAACAAAGGCAATAGAATAGTTAAAGAATATTGATGGACCGTGTAATGCATGACAATATAGAAATTAACTGAAAGTGAAAAAATCTAGTGCTACATTACAAGGCTATGAATCGATGTAATTTGCAAATAGTTTATATATTATGTAATATAAAGATTATATTAACTCACTTGCATCCTTCACAGCCGTCAATATTGGCATTTGGATCAAAATCAAGATCTTCAAATCTGTTTTTATGAAACCGTTTAGTAAAATAAAACGTTTTGCCGTCATCCTCCAACTGCTCTTCCAAATTTTGTTCGCCGCCTAATGATGACCAGTTGTGGGGAATTTGACGAAATGTTACCTAAAAAGTAGAAGGCTAAAGATACACAACAGTGACTAAGAAAGTACACACAAAAGAAACAAATTAAATCGTAAATACGCAAACGTGTATAAATATATCAACTCAAATACTGTCGACCAAAGACTTCTTCAAGGTCCATGGGTTTGAATTTTTCTACTGCCTTTAGTCATTTTCTTTTGTTCATAGCCGCAGTTTCGCAATTTCTCATCTCATTTTAAACAAATCTTCTTTACATTGATTCAAGCCACTTTTAGTGGTCCTGGTTTTCCCCGCCTTTCCCAGATGTTCCAACCACTATCTCCCTTTTAGACCAACGATCGGGATAATGTCTTGTTTCTCACAAAACCTCTTTTTTTATTTACAAAAAACCCGCTTCAACCTAATAAAGTTATTGCTTAGTAAATTAAAGTCTTCTAAAAACAAAAGTAGGTTATCTATAGTGTTTTTGTTAATTTAAAATATCTTTATGATTGTTTAGTCACAGTATAAATAACAACCTATACTGTGGTTTAGTATTCTCATTTTACCCTATGAAGGCCGATATGTAATTAATATATGATCAGTGGACCTCAAACAGTGGGGCGTGAATATTTAATTTATATCGCTTAAAAAGGAAAAATATTTAATTTCCTGTATTTTATGTTCAGTAATAATATTGGAATTTACTGTATCAAAGGCAAATAAAATGAATATAATATGTATATACAGGGCGGTTAAAAGAAGTGGGACGGCATATTTCGAATAATCGAAATTATTTGTCGACATCAAATGTTCATCAAGGTCTCTATAAGTCTCTATTTTGCGTAGAGTTAAAATTATACGAATGGTTTTGCATGCAGTTAAATTGGAAAATACTTTCCAAGTTACTGGTATGTCCAAATTTGAATAAAATGCATCCAAGACTTTAGACACTGTATTAAAAATAACCTTGAAACAAATTGGCATTAAATCACTTCTGAGTTTTCGGAAAAAAAAAGGTTTAAACACGTGTAGTCCAGTAATTAATACCAAAGCTATTGAGAGTATGCAGTTCAGTAATTAGACCAAAGGTACTTTATCATTTAACTAAAACACACCATAAAGTATGAATTGAATTCCCGAAACACTTTATTGTTTCTTCTTTTTAGCAAACGATTTGTCCTATTCACTATCTGATATTTTACTAGCAGAGTCGTCACTATCTGAATTGTCTATCCGAATAATTAGAGGCCGCACCTCATCTATAACTAACTCGGTTTGAAAAGACTGAACGATTCTGTCTTTCGTATGTCTATACAATTTTGCCATTGTTCTGCCTTTATTTGTTCTAGCGATTCTTTCCATAACCTAAGAACGCTAGCGTCATCTTTTGTTTTGGATGCATGTTTATCATAAATTTTTTGGCTATACCCCAAACTAACTCAATAGCATTATAGTGGCAATGGCAGGGCGGAAGTCGAAGAACTGAATGGCCATATTTAAGAGCCATTTGATCAGTAACAAAGTTCTTTTGAATTTTGTGCTCTCCACACCTTTGTAGTAAATCGACTTTTAAAAATATGTAACTGTGATAAATTTTCTTCTCTGTTAACCACAACTTTATTTCTTCTTTTCTCCAGCCACTTGAAGGAAATCTCTCTTCTACTCTTGAGTGGTAGGTTGCATTATCCAAGACTAGTATGGATGGTCGCTCCAATTTTTCTAACAAATTTTCTTCAAACCATTCTTCAAAAATATTTGCATCCATATTTCATTGGTTAGGATTAAGTTAATATCCCATTAAACTAGCGTCCAGCATCTTGCCAAGATGATTTTGACATATTTCCTTTAGCGAAAATCCAAGTTTCATCTAAAAATACAACTTGCCTCGGTTTATCAGACATTTTATTGTTTATGTATTTTCTGAAAAATTGCCACCGTTTTGAAAAAAACATTAGAGTTCATACAATACTTGTCTATCATTTGTCTTTTTTATATCGAAAACCTAAATGTTTCAATACTCTCCACAAACGTGTTATACTAATATCACACAGTTCCTTGTCTTTTATTTTTTGCAACACAGCACTAACTGTTACATGTTCTTTGGCTTTATACATATTATATATAATATTTTTAATTGCAAGTTTAATTGACTGATGCAAATCTAAAGTATTTGGATGTCGACGATTTCTCTTGCTTACTTTATTTATTTCATCCTCACTCATGTTATTAATTCTTCGGAATGTCCTCTCTGAGATACCGCAAGCATTGCATGTGTATTTCTGAACTGCCATAACAGATGTCAATGGACCCATATTTTTTTCTAAATTGAAATAACTTTCGACTTTTAGAACTAAACGCCGTTCTTCTGGAGATAACACTCTACGTTTCAACTGTATTTTATTTTCTTCCAAATTACTCATTTTGCTTTAAAGTATCGCTTCACTACACTACTATAAAAAATAGGTACTTATATACAACTACTACACTCTAAAAAGGACGAGGGTTGTACAATAGATTTTATTTATTTAGCGTATGGATAATTACAATACGATAAAAGTAGTATTTAGATAATAATTATGTTCAAATTGGAATTGTAACCTAAGTTAAATATTAAATATTAATGTCCAAGTTGCACAGCCATTAAATTGCACCAGGAGAACACTCTGCAAAATCTTGAAGGTTTCCGCTGTATCTGCGGATTGGGCAATCCGCCATGTGTTGGATGGTCTGTCTCGGGGATCCACAGTCACATTGTGGGCTTTCTGCATCACCCCATCGGTATAGAGAATCGGCACATTTGCCATGACCCGTGCGTATACGATTTAATTTTGTCCATATAGGGCGTGGCAGGTTTGATCCAGTGAAGCCGATCGACGTACTTGTTATTTTGATGACGTCTGGCTCTGTTGTTGGCATCCATCTTTTCGTCCACTGCTCTTGCTTATTGTAGCTATCACCCATTCCCAGAACGGATTGAACAGGGGGTCGTCTGGACTTCAGTCTTTGTTAGTCTCGTGCGGCGTGCGGAATATACTGGTGAATTGGTAGACGATTATTTGCCATGATTTTCAATATTGTAGAATAGATGAAACAATCGAACACAAATTATTTAACAGCCAATGCTAAATAAGCATAAACACTGTATTGATTGTGATTGCAAAAACCGTTCGAATGTTTTAAATAAGGTGTTTGCTGATTATGTATTTTGTTAAACTATTAAAACACAAAAATACAACCCACGACCATCAATTATTTTTTAACGATAAACAGAAGAGAAATATGATAACGTTTGAATTTGATCTACTTTGTCGATGCCAGTGTCGTTAATAGAAAGATATTTTAAACAGCATGAATCATTTTTCAATGATTGTGTGGATTTAAGAAATACATTACTAAACAATTTTTTAAGTGTGTATAAAATCTTAACTGGTATTTATATAACATGGTATTTACTCCTTATTTTTCAAATAATATGTTCTTGTAAATGCATAACTTTGATTATTGGGTAAACTTACATTATACGATACATCAGAAGAAATTTAAAAAAAAATTAACATTGCAATAAAATTATAAACCAATAAACTTGTTGAGCAGTGCTGATTGAAACAACAGAGCAGTAAAATGTTATTCATAAAGGTAGTGTAAAATATATCACCGCTTATCTGGTCCGCTAGTAATAAAGTTACCAGCATATAATTGCAAAGCGGTCTTCTTAGGTGAAAAATCCTTTGGTATTTAATTATGTGACGATTGAACTTTTCGCACTTTCCTACTATTTTTTATAGCACATGTTTTACCGGAAGGAGTGAATCGCACTCATCACAAATTGGGCACTCTTCTTTCTTAAACAAATGTTCATGAGGAAACTGGGTATGTGTAAGTCGTGAACGGAAAATAATTATCTGCTTTCATGTGGACACCTCGGGTGGTTGCCATAGTCCAATCTAATTTTTTATCTCCTGATGCTTTGATGGTATTTCCATTTTTGGTCCAGTTCTCGAACAGGTGTTCGAGAACTGTAACGACTAATATTTTGTTCATCTTATTTGTATTTTCGTTTAGGATTGTTTGGTAAATTGCATAGAGTTCTCCTGTTAATATAGTTGTAGTATTTGTAATTCTATGTTTGAGAATCTCTGTGCTGTTAATTATTGCCACTCCGACTCCATTTTCAGTTTTAGAGGCGTCTGTATGTGTATAATATACTGTGTAATCGGAATGAGAGTTAATTAGATCTCTGAAGAGTTGTATGATAAGATTAGGGTTTGTGCTATTTTTTGGAATTATAATAGACTGCAATTGACTTTAAAATTTTTATAATCCACGGTGAAGATATATTTTTGTATTGATATAAGGGTGGAAATTGCTTCCAGTTAAAAAGGTTGATTGCATGATAAATTCTGCGGGAATATGGTAGATTGAACTTTGAAGAGTCATTAGCCATGGATGTGTCTAAAACGTTATTTATTGGAATTTTTCATTTGCAGTTATGCTAGAAATGTAATTAGGGATTAGTTAATAGCTGCCTACGAAGCTCTAGCGTGGTTTCACCTATTTCAGCTTGTATGCTATTTATCAGAGTTGTTCTGTACGCTCCAAGTATAATCATTACGAAGGTTTTATGTAACATATCTCAAGACAGGATATAGCACCATTCGTTCGGACTTGAAATGTTCTTTGTTAAAAAAAAAAATTATGTAGGCCAAAATATTTCCTTGATATCCCAATTTTTTTAGAATATTCAATATACGGTATTTCCTTACTGTATCAAATGCTTTAGATATGTCAAAGTAAATTGCCATATATTTTTGATTATTTTCAAAAGCTTCGTGAATGTCGTTTTCTAGATCTATAATGTTGTCATTTGTAGATCTGTCTAGTCTAAGGCCAGCTTATTTGATGGTAAGTTGATCATTATGTTCTAGGTTCCACATTAATCTTTTGTTGACTATTTTTTCCATAAGTTAAAGTGAAGAATATGTTTATGATATAGGACGATATTATTCTGGTTGTAATTTATCTTTATTTGGTTTAATAATATGTGGATATATGGATTTTTGTGTGTTGAAAGTGTAAAAACTCTTTTTCTACTATGGGAAGTTTTTTAATAAATTGTAGTGGTATGTCGTCGGAACCTGGTGAAGTATCTTTCATGCTATTAAGTGCTTCTTGATACTCGCCATAACTAAGAGATGTATTGATAGGATTAAATTCGTCGGAAATTGTAATAGGTACTGCATCCTCCTGTTGTGTGTAAGTTAAAAACTTGTTACTGTAATTTTGACTGGATGAGAATGTTTGATAAGTATCAGCTAGTTCATTTACTATATCCTGTGGATCAGTTAGTAATGTCTCTTCTTTTTCTAGACTTACGATGTATTGGTAAGTGTACTTTCCTATTTTTTTTTTTCAAACAGATGATATATTTGTGTTGCTGTTAATGCTAGATATGTATTTATGCCAGGATTCTTGTTTGCTTTTTTTTATGATTCTCCTTGCTTAAACTCTACATTTTTTTTACTCTGTTAATAGTTCAATATTTTTGTACTTTTTATATTGGTTCCGAATTGATTTACTTTATTAAATAGCGACCCCACATTGTGTATTCCACCAGGGAACTAGTTTGTGTTTCATTAAAAGGTGAGATTTTCCTATGGCTATATTAGCAGCATCCAGTACAAGCTGATTAAAGCTCATGAGTGTGTCGTCAATCGACTCTGAAATTTTAATCTGATTTATTCTCAAGTGGTCACAACTATATAAATCCTTTAGTGCTGTCCAATCAAGTTGGATGTGCAATGAGGCTTCGCATATGGAGAGATCAATACCAGATGCTCCCGTAGCCATATTGACTCTTGTTGTAGATCCATCGTTCATAATGTTAAAAACCTGTTTTAACATATTTCCCCTCTTCGTTGCTATTTGATCCCCATGTAATGTTATGGCCATTAAAATTTCTCGTAATTATTCGAGGTGAGGGAATTTGTTGGAGGATATTAAGTAATTCGGGTTTAATTAAGAGTTTCGTCTGGTGAAACATAAATGTTACAAATATTGAACTTTAATGGGGCTAGTACTGTTACAGCGACTGCTTCGATATTAGTAATGATGTTATTATGATTTTAAATTCAACAGCATAAAAATAGTATACATAAATAACAACAAATAAATAAACCTAAAAAAATTAAAATAAAAATTCAAAACATTAATAAAAAATAAACTCACCTCTACTTTACAGATAATACTTCCTAGTAAAAGATTCTCGCAGTCATCAATAATAAACAATTCCCTTGGATCTGACGTTTCTCCTAATATGGTATCTGATCCACGACATAATAATAGGCCATGAAATAAATATTTTTGTGGAAGTTGATCAAACATTCGTATAATTCTAGCGATGTACGATGGTTCCTTTGGATTTTTTGATTTAACCATTACATAATCGCCAATTTGAACAATAAAATCATCTAAAAATATTATCAAAACTATTGTAAACTTATCTTTTCTTTCCATTTAACTATTTCCCTTTAATATAAAAACTGCTTAAAAAACAACATATGAATGATAAGTGTTCATCTCATATTCGCTATGTGCACGAACCCACGTGACCTACTGTAGTGCGATTTAAGCGCAAGCAGTGGATATAACGAAAAGTTCAACTGCAGTACAATTTATTAACACACTATATGTAAGCATGTGGGTCATAGTGTTTGTTGTATTTCATTTTGTTCAAATACGGATAGAAATAGTAAATGCACATTTTTAATAACTTTATTAGTACAATATATTGACTTTTACAAAATCACTTGTTCATATAAGTTAAACTTTCAGATATTTAAATTCTTTTTTTTAATCACTTTTATTATGGCACATGTAATTAAATTGAGTAAATGTAATTATATTTATTGAAAGTACTGTGATTGTGTTTAAATTTATTATACATGATCAGTTACATGTCTATTACATTTTTATACCAAGCAGTAAGATAGTGTTCAAAATAAAATTCTTCACTTTTTTTACTTATTAGCATGTTTAATAATGTCTTGATTTCGCAAAACAGTAGATACAGTGGAACCTCGATTATCCGTCAGGGCACCGGACCAAGGGTATGACGGATAATCGAAAAGACGGTTAAGAGAACATTAAAAAAAATTCATAGTATAACTCTTAAATTTTATTTGTATGTTTTATTTGACAATATAAGAGGGATTTATGTTAGTACACTCGAATCAGTTTGATTTTAATTATTCCGAAATCTGTGTTTGTTTTTTTGTTCTTGCCGAGAATATCACTTGATGAATTTTTGTGTGTGCGATGCAGCTCCTCTAGCTTATTTACGCAAATCTTTGTGAGTTGTAATAGCATCATCAACATCGCCACCATCAAAGTTTCTGTCAACTTCTGAACCAGTTTTATCCGCCTCTGTTGTCATTTCAACGATTTCATCATCTGTCAACAATCGATAGCCGTTTGCGTCTTCATCACAAATTAACCATTCGTTTATGTCATCTTTAGGCAACGAAAACAAAACAATTGATTCAGCCATAACTTCATTTAAGGGTGGCATTTTCATCTTAAGTTGATACAGGCCATAATTTATTCCACGCCCTTTTCAGCGTTACTTCCGAAACATCAGCCCAAGTATCCACAGCATTGTCGACTACGTGTTTTAAATTGTATGCTTAAAAGAATATTACTCTTCCATAACTAGGTTTGGAATAAATTTTTTTCTGTATCTACTTTTGAATGTCATAATGACCGACTGATCCATTGGCTCTATCAATGATGTTGTATTCGCAGGCAGAATAGAGTACGTGATATTTTTATCGTCACTCCGCAGCATACAGGCTTTAGGATGGGCAGGTGGATTATCCAAAATGAGAATCTTCTTTGGTGGACAATTTTTTGCAAACAAAATGAATTAATAACTAAATTTTTACTTATGTTGTCAATATAACTTATGCATGTGTGGACCCTGACGGTTAACAGAGGTGACGGTTAATAGAGAGACGGATAATCGAGGTTCCACTGTATAGTTAAAAGTACTAATTAACGTTGGCGAATAAACAAATAAATAACAAACACTCAGTCCAGTAACGTATAATATATTATGTGACTTAATTTTAATCTAATTTCATTACCCATAACTAGTAATTTTGCCCGTTGGATGCGACGGGGATCCAATCAATTGCCATCTATTCACTCATTAAATTTTTAAAATCATAACCTTCTTCCACGTAAACCAAGTAAATAAAAATTATGAACTAGTACTCTTCTGACCTGACATAGGTCATGTGATGTGTCATAGGCTGGGATTCGACTAGTTGTTTATTTTGTTATAAGTCAGAAGCCTTCTTCAGGTCAATAAAGCCATTTTACTTTTGGTAGTCACCTTGTTTGTTTTCTCGTACGTCGTTTGACGTTCATTGATAACGAAGATGCTGTGTAGTGCCTTATTGGTAGTCGCCTTGTTTGTTTTTTTCTTCCTTAATATATTCATTATTTCCTCCCCTTCCGTTTGCTATGTCAGATGTTAGAATTCAATCAGTTGTTTAGTTTGTGCTCAGTCAGGGCCCTTCTTTAATTCGATAAAAAATTGTGCAAATTTCCTTCCTAGGTGGCGATAGGAGTTATTGCACCGTAAAACAGTGTGAGCTGTCGTCCTAGCCTTTTATATAGATCTTCTAAATCTTCTAGAGATGTTGGCGAACACATTGATACATCTTATCCTATTCACAGATAGATCAGTTGACGTTAGGCCAGTCCATTTCCTAAGATTGGCCAGCCAGGATATAAGTCTACGTCCAGGACCTCTATTGTCACCTCGGGGTAAATGGAAAGGGTCTAAATCACCCTCTACTAGAACACTATTACCCTCAATCTTGCCCTCTAGAATCAACTGTAAAAGTCGGTATTTATCATTACGCATGATATGGCCGAAGTAACCCAATTTTCTGTTTTTTATGGTGATAACAATTTCTTTGTCTTTTCTTAGTCTCTGGATAATAGTTATGTTACTTTAAAAGAAGAAGATTTATTCTATTATTATTATTATTTAAAAAAGAAGAGAAAAAATTATTTTAAATATTGCAAAATAATTCGACAAAAACATGTCGATTTTTTGCTTATAAACAATTAGAATAACTTTTTAACCATTGAATACAAAAAACTAATTTTTTATATTTAGACAGTCTGAATTTTTTTACAAATTAAAAAAAAATTCATCCAGGATACTTTGGGACGAAGTTAGTGCCTTTTTTTATAAGTTGATATCTCAGCTTAGTTTATAACAAATAACAGACCTTATTAGGGTCTTCTGAAAGAACATACTTTAAAGTTTTAATGTGAAAAAATCGAAAAAGACTGCATTTTAATTGAATCGTTCACAAAGTTTCAAAAATGTGGTCATCAAAATTGGTCAAAATTGGTCGGCTTTGAAACTAGTGAGAGCAGTGGAGGGGGAAGGACCTGTTAAAACTGTATCTCTATTTCTTCTTTATGGATTTCGACGTTTCTTTTTTTAATTTGTTTGTACTTTTGCGTACATTAGGACTGTCTAAGTATTAAAAAATCTGTTTCTGCAGTCACTGGTTAAAAAGTTATTCTTGTCGTTTATAAGCAAAACATTGACATGTTTTGCCAAATTATTTTGCAATATTTAAAATTATTTTTCCTCACCTTTTTAAATATTAATAATAGAATAAATCTTCGTCTTTCACAAGCTACCCGTATAATTAATATAACTATATAATTTTCTGACTTATATTGTTGCAAAAAAATTTAATTTGGGATAAACCTTATAAATCCTGATCCCCGGAGGGAATGTAGTGGTTATCGTGATGTCGTGTATTGTCCTCCTCCGATGTTGTGACGAGAAACAGATCTCTGTTTCTCGTCACAACATATTATGGTTAGCTAGGATACAATAATTATTGTATAAATACAAAATGATTATTAGGCATTTTTATATTGAACTTTGAAAATAAGGCTATTATCGAGCACAAGTTAATTAAATCTAGCCCAAGTACTTTCGCTTAAAATAGCATCTTCAGGGGCATTTCGTCAAAATAAGAACTATCCGGCAAGCGTAGGATGTGGAAACATTAAAAATAACATAAATTGTACAAAACACTACACTAAAACGAGGACAAACAGTTTAAAATTACTTCTACGCTACATTCTCTGTCAGTTTCTGGAGGGATATTATTATCTTACGGGATTATAACTTACCTACTGTGGCTGAAGAGTAGCAAGTTTTGTCTTTGTATTTTTCTTTGCTTTCATCTTTCCATTTCACGTTGTGTATAATTTTGGTGGACAGCTGTTTAGTTTTATTATATTTAACTGCACAAGGAACTTCTTTCTCATCTTCATTATCAGATACTTCCGCATCAATTATAGCCATGTGCATACACCTGGACAAAAAATTATTTCAAATAATAATAAACTGCTAACACTAGGTCACTTATGATATATTCGTTCAAAATATTAGTGGGTTTAGTATATCACCTTACCTTCTCCGTTTACATGCTTGTTTTGACTTTCCTGAACCTCCAAACTTTACCATATCTCTGCAATGATTACATTCCCCACAATCAGGCGACTGACATGACTCGCAAATACCACATCGCTTCTTTTTAGGTCCTTTTTCTAAACCTTTGGCGTCAATTTGTTCGGGAAAGAAATACTCAAAGACATCATGGACGAGTTTAGTTGTGACAGCTTTGGTCATGTTGTTCTTTTTTTCCCTAACGATCTATATTTTTAAAAACAAATAAAATCAAAAATATGTGTAGACATTCTAACTGGGTAATTCCACATCAACTATACAAAATGAAGTAATTTTATTTATTTATTATTTTTATAGATTTTTTATAGATTTTAATAAAATTGAAAAAATTGCTGTATAGCGGACTTGCCTCGGCGCGTAAATGGACTCTTCCAACTGTTTACTCTGACAGCTATTTTGTAAAAAGCCATATTTAATGTGCTGATTTAGAAATCTCGTGCAAAGTATACATATGAAAATTCAACCTAACATGTTTTACTAATAACTCTTTTTGTTGCACTTTAATATAATAGTTGAACTGATAATTCTATAATAATGGGGAAAAGAGCATATAAGGCAAATGTTGACTATATTGACCTAGGTACACTGGCGACATATAATTTAATCAATATAGTTGTGATCCAAAGGACATAAGTCATGGCATATTGTCGCTAATAGCTCAATTCCGGCTGTAGGATTGGTCAAATTGCAATCATAATTGCAGCCAATGGTATTGCCGGAAATTGAAACTCAATTCCGGCTTTACCATTTGTCGAATTACAACCTAATTGCGGCCAATGGTATTGTCCGAAATTGAGCATCGGCTGTCGTGCAAGCTCCAATGGCAGAGCGCCATGGAGCATTTGACCTACTTAATTTCATATAAGTCTGTCTGGTCTGGACATGCAGAACCAGCCTTCTTGGCATTAGAGACCTTCTGGTTGATTTAGTTCCTAGAAACTCTGCTTTTTATTGCACCTAACCGCTATCCTTTTATTTCAGGATTTTTTATAAGTTCTCTAGCGAGACAGTCTAATTTATATTTAAATTGTATTTATTTCAGCTTTTTCGACTTAGGATATTTCTTGTCAAATATTTAATTTCGAATTCAATGGTATTTTCGACTTGAAGTACAATTTCATATTTTTCCTCTATTTTTCAGGTATTTATCGACTTAGATATTTGTATTTATTATATACAATAAATACAATATATATATATATATATATATATATATATATATATATATATATATATATATATATATATATATATATATATATACAGTATAAACAATAAATTGTATTTATTTCCGATTTAATAATTTAGAAGAATTTGCATTATCTGGTTATTTCTTTCAGGATTTTTCTAAATTCTTAAAGGAACTTAGAATAGTTTTCTTATTTGATTTATTTGGTATTTTCAGGGAATTTTAACTTAGCATAATTTCGTAAATTATTGTTATTTTATTTTCTCTTTCAGATTCTCTAAGTTCCTGAACGGAACTTGGAAGAATTTTATATTTTTATAATATTTCTTTCAGCGACTTAGGATAATTTCTGACAAATTACTTCCTTCTCTTTAGGACTTTGAAATATTTTCAGTTGTAGAATAACTTAGAATAGTTTTCTAATATTTATTCTCTTTCATGGACTTTGAAATATTTCTATTTTATTTCTCGTTATTGGCTTTGAAATATTTTCAGAAAGAAAAAAATTTCCCATATTTTAATTTTACCTATATTTTTATTTCTCTTTTAGGGGCTTTAAAATATTTTTAGTATTTTATTTTTCTTAATTGACTTTTGAAATATTTTTGGTATAAAAATAACTTCGGATATTTTTCTACATTTTTAGATCTTATCGACTTGGCAAAAATAATTTGCTTTTGTGTCGATATTTCGTTACATGTGTTTGTTGATTAGTCCCGAAGACACCACGACGAACACTTCTATCACATTTTGGACGAAATCGACTTAAGTAGAAATTTCATGCAGATTCTTATTTTTAGTTAACATTTATTTGTATTTGTTTTAAAAAGGTATTTCCCTCTAGCTTGTGGGCGTATACGGCCTATATGTCCACGGACCGTGACCCTTACCTGCTTCGGTACATTTTAGCTATGGGTAATGCGACTGGACCACCTTCCCTCGTTCTCGAGGGTTCAGGCCAGCGACAATATAAGATAACTTGTCATGTTATCTATTTCTGTTGTAACTTGAACATATTAGTTAATTAAGTTAAACAATGTAAATCAAAGTTAATTTAACAACATTTTTAATCAACGAGGGTTTTTATATATGTATTTAGTAGCTTAAAACATATACATCCAGATAGCACTGATGATGGAATATAATTCCGAAAACATTCTGTGATATAGCCAGATAGGGGTTTTTAATATTATACCTGTTATAAAGAAATTTTGAAATAAATTTTTTGTGATACATGGTATACAGCCAGCTACAGGAATTTAGTTTCCTTGTGGACTTTACATTTCCGAAGTGGAAATTGAAACGTCAATAAACTTACTTTAACCGTTAATTGTGGCTTATTCCTATTTAAATAGTATACTTTAAAATGACACAGGAAAATAGCTTCAGAACAATATTAAGAAACCGTTATGGGCCCAGCGTCATTCAAAATTTTAGGAGATTGGAAATTCTTTACAATAAACTGGCACATTGTCAAAATTCAATCATACATTAAGATAAGTATTAATAACTCTTTTTTAAGATTTTCGGTTTTTTTCCAAGACACATAATTCTTTTGTGTAAATTAAAATTTCATGGAAAAGAATAAATAAATATAAAGTTTTAAAGTAACGAGTTCTAGTAATTTATTTTGTATTATTTTGCAGGTGTAATAATTTACAACTAATAAATTAGAATTGTGAAAATTGCAAGATAATGATTTTTTTCAATTACTAAAGACATCCAATTAATCACCGAAATATGATATTAAAATACACAATTTTGTGGGGAATCCAAATCTGTGTTTAGAATGGAATTTGGGTTAAGAAGGTTATGAGAAATTGTAGAAAACTGTCAAAAAAGAAGTAACATTTCGGAAAAATCGGGAATTGGCGATTTAAATGAATGTAATACCATTTCAACCTTAGATATAAGAGCTGTGCTTAGTTTTTATCTTAAAGCATATACTTTTTAACAACTTTTCCTGAACTTTGAAAGAAAAAAAAAATGATTTTTTAAGAAAAAGTGGTTTTTTCAAATTTTTCTTAACGATTAAGCTAATTTTAACACCGGGATGGTGTTTAGAAGAAAATTTTTCAAAATACTCAAATTTTTTAAGCATCTAGAGCCCTCTAGGCAAGAAAAAGTGATAAAATAAGGGAACTTTTTTTACTTTTAATATTTGTTAGTATAGAATACGCCTGTAAAATTGAAACCAAATCGAAAGGGGTAGCCTACCAAACTTTGCAAAATTGACGCGGAATTGCCTAACTCTTAGATAATTTTTATATTTAAATGGAATCAGAGCCTACAGTTAGAGTCAGAATTATCAATTATTGATTTTCTGGATTTGGACGTTTGGCTAAAATAACGTGTAGTTTCTTCAGGAAATGATGGTCTATTGCAGAGTGTCCCAAACTTATATAAACCGCGACCCCTTTTTGCTAAAAAAATTGTTCACGACCCCCCAATTTCCCCCCACTCATTTATTCAATATTATTTGACAGAAGTAGCGTGCCTAATTTACAATTATCTGATGGTTTCTCAAATTTAATTTTACTTTACTGTTTAAGTTTTAATCAAAAACAATTATTTTATTTTAATACAATTATTTTAATGATTGCGATCTGTCCCACTAGTAATTAGTAGTAGGTACTTCTGCCAGAATAGCATTTACAATAAAAATAAATAATAAGAAGTCGACTGCACATTGTACACCGCGACATATTAGCTTGCGTCTACATCGCAAAACTCTTCCATGATAATCGCGAAAGCGTTCGCGACTAGATGGCACTCTGGAACGTTCTCGTAGCCTCATTTTGGCTTTATATAAGCGGCGATGCGCAACGAAACCTGAGTTCGAATCCAAACAGCCTATGGTGGCGAACTCGGTGTTGAGTAATGAGTAAATATTTTACGACTTACGTATTCCCGTTTAGGTATTTACGTCTACGATAAATTATAAATTATGGATAAGTTTTTAAAAAGAAGTGCAGAACCATCTACGTCTGAAAGTGGTAGTAGCAGCAATAAAAAGAAAAACAGATTCTACATTGATGAATATCTTAAATATGGTTTTACCGTTATTTCCAATAAACCACAATGTGTTATTTTTGGATAAGTCTTGTCAAAAGAAAGCATGAAACCATCAAAGTTACTTCGACATTTAAATAGCAAACATCCAGATAAAAAAGACAAGCCCGTAGAATTCTTTGAAAGAAAGCTGAACGTCCTTCACAAACAGCAAGACAGTTTTCCCTTGGCAACCACTACTAATGGAAAAGCATTATTAGCGAGTTATAAAGTTGCTTATCGTATTGCCAAAGCTAGTAATCCGCACACAATTGCTGAAAATCTGATTTTTCCAGCAGCTGTTGAAATGGTACATATAATGTGTGGGGAAAGAGAGGCTGCAAAATTAAATACAATACCTCTGTCAAATAATACTATCCAAAGAAGAATTAGTGATATGGCAGAAGATATTCAAGCGCAAATTGTGGAAAATCTTAATAAATGAACGTACTTCTCTCTTCAAATGGACGAATCCACAGATATATCTAACTGTGCCCAATTCATTACGTTTGTAAGATATGATACAAATAATAGCATTCAAGAAGATATTTTATTTTGTTCCCCATTGGAGACCAATATCACTGGAAAATGTTTACTCACACTTTTGTGAAACGTACAAGTAAATATGATAGTGACTGGGGTAAATGTATTGCTATATGGACAGATGGCGCTAAAGCTATGACAGGACATAAATCTGGTCTTGACGTCAAATTACAAGAAATAGTGCCTAATGCCAAATGGAGACATTGTTTTTTAGATCGAGAAGCTCTTGCATCCAAAGCTTTACCTCCTGAAATGGACTGTGTTATGAAAACCATCATTAAAGTTGTAAATTCCATTAAAGGAAAAGCTTTGCAGACCCGTATTTTTAGAAAAATTTGCAAAGACATTGGTGCTTTATTTGAAAATCTTCTCTATCACACCGAAGTAAGGTGGCTTTCAAGGGGCAACGCCTTAAAAAGAGTATTTCACTTAATAGCAGAGCTTTTAATGTATTTGAAAGATGAGAAGTCCCCATATGAAAATCAATTTCCGATCCTATTTGGCTTCTGAAACTAGGTTTCCTTGCTGATATTTTCGAGCAATTAAATATTTTGAACAGTAATTTACAAGGTCGCGACATTAATACAATTACAGCCACAGATAAAATCAAGGCGTTTCTAAGAAAAATCGATTTATGGTCGACCTCACTTGGCAAAAAACAACTCGATTCATTCCAGTGCCTTCAGGAAATTATGGAAAATGTATCCAATTTCCATGAAAGTGCTACAAATTTTTAACAAGTTTTTACTGACATGCCTGTTACTTTGCTCAATTTAAAACAACAGTTCTGTGATTATTTCCCTGAAGAAATTCAAAACAGTTACGACAGTTGCAGATGGATACTAAATCCGTTTTTAGCCGATTCCTTTCAGCATGTTGAAATACTAATACCAAAGAAAAACTTATTGAAATATCACGTGATGAAATGTTGAAGCTCCAATTTTTTTCCCAGAACTCGGACCAATTTTGGGCCGAAAAGATGCAGGAATACCCCCAGTTGGCGAGTGAAGCTGTAAAATGTTTGGTTCCATTTGTAACATCATATTTGTGTGAGTTAAGTTTCTCGTCTATGACTGCCATTAAAACAAGAGTTAGAAATCGTCTCGTAGTTGAAAATGATATAACTGTGTGTGTCTCAAATACACAGCCTAGATTTAAAAGATTAGTTTCACAGAAACAGGCGCATAGCTCTCATTAAGATTATAATATTTGACTCTTTTATTTTCACGGACTTTAATATTTAGTTTTATATTTCGTCTGATAATTAATTGTTAATTTCTATTTACGGCGTTGTTTAAATAAAAATAAATGATCTAACAAAGTGGTGCTTTTGTCTTATTTTGGAAATGTTCGGCAACCCCCTAGGGGTCGCGACCCCCACTTTGGGAAACACTGGTCTATTGGTTACAGTATTTAAAATACCTAATCAAAGTATCCACAAGGAAAAATCAATTGTAAGTCAATGATAAGTCGATTCTAACAAGTTAATAGGTGAAATATGAATCTCTGTGCACCCCATACATATAACTCAAAATTAATTTATGTACATAAATAATAATTATGGTATTTTATATAACTATCTAATATTTATTTTGTATCAAATTCCCGAATATACTGCATGTTAAAATAAGAAATCAAAGTGTCTTACCTTGTTGACAGGTTTAAGTTTTTTTACATGTTTAAAAGCTACACCTGCCATTGCTACTAAAGTTCTCATACATGGCAATGTAATTAGCGGTTGCTCATCATCTTCAGCATTCTCATCATAGCTTACTACCTAAAAACAGAGGCTGTATATATTTTTTTTATTGTTGTATCACATTTGACATACTGCTGCCAAAAAATAATATAATATATATATACATATATGTATATATATATATATATATCTATATATATATATATATATATATATATATATATATATATATATATATATATTTATATGTATATATATATATATATATATATATATATATATATATTAATATAATAATAAATAATGGACTAAACAAGCTATATGCTTTGGGGAACATTTATGTCTAAGGGATTTCATTAGTTTTATAAACAGTTTTAAAAAGTTTATTTTAGTGTTATATTTTAATTGTATTGCACAAATTTGAGTTTTTTTTATTTATTCCTTTTACTCTTCTTCTTATTGAACACTATTGTGAAGATAAAGGTATTTTTCGAACTCAAATAGGAACTATGAAATAAGAAAACATATGAATTATGACATTGGCGTTGTTAATAAAATTTATTCACATATTCGTAATAAAATTCATTAAATAAATTTTTTTGTTTTAATTAGCTAATTGGATTTCAATTAATTTAATTATGATATATGCAATCGCAATAATTTGAAACATATGTCTATGCCACCGCTCTGAATCGAAACAAAATCTATCATGTCGAAGGACAATAATTATCGAAATAATTATTTACAGACGTAACTACGCCATCTAATATCAACAAGAGAAATCATAAGATTTCTTACCTAGCGAAACTGAATTCAAATCTTTACCACTGTGCCTTCTACAACTTGCAAAGCAAACCGATTGATGAATTGGTCGGCAAGGGAATCTAAAATATGCATTTCACAACCAGTTCCCTTTATAAATTATAACTGTAATACCCTTTATAACTGAACACTTAACTGCCGCCAGCAATAAACTTAAATGCTGTCCGCAACAAACTCCTTCTGTTTAATCTACCGACCGATATTGTGTTGTCGGAAATTTACAATTTTTGATTCACAAGTGTCAGTGTAGAGGTTTGACTATTCGTACCTAATAAACTACATAAAGAGGCTTAAAAACATGACAAATGAAACAAATTTCACCAGAATTTCATTTCACAGTTGTTTTTGTCGTAGATGTTTATCTTTTGTTTCCTGATTGTGCTTTAGCGTCTTGAAAGTTGTATTGCAGACTATGTAGTCACATACGAGTAGATCACACACTATGGCTATTAAAAGAAAAGTATTTAATTTATTTAGAAGACAAAATTAACATCCTTAAGATGTTGAGAACGGTAAGAAGAAAGCAGAAGTTTGTCGTGGAAGAAGAATTTCAAGTTCCACTCTAACTACCATTCTTAAAAATAAACACAAAATTTTCGAAGTAGGTTCGTATTTTTCTGGTTAATCGAAAAAACTACTACTCAAACTCAAACATGAACATTGTATAGGTGGCAAGTTATCAAAAGAAAGGGTAAATCTACTCGAGTGTGCCAACATTTCCGGTTCTGAAAAAAGGAAGTTAGTCGTCGTTGGGAAATCCCAAAAACGACGATGTTTCAGAGGTGTGAATCAGCTTGCTGTCACATAAATTTAATAAAAAATCTTGGATGACAGCAGAGATTTTTAGTGGAGAACTGTTGAAGTGGGACATCGAAAGATTCTTTTAATCGTTGACAATTTTACAGCCCATACAGAGAATTTTAGTGGAGAACTTTTGAAGTGGGACATCGAAAGATTCTTTTAATTGTTGACAAGCTCATCGGAAAGTTAATGATTTAAAAAACATTCAACTTCTTTTTTTACCCCCAAATTGCACATATGTTCTGCAACCGATGGATCAGTGCATCATGAGGTCCCTTAAAGTTCACTACAGAGAATTTTTAGTTAAGCGGATCCTAAATAATGTGGAAAACCTTAGTGAATCCCTTCTTACTTTTTTTATTTTTTATTTATTTAATACACGGGATAACCCCATTAACAGTTTAAATTACAATATACAATATCAGTTAGGATTCAAAACTGGAAATTACTTATAATATAAAATCAATATTAAAAATTAAAAAAAATGAGACTAAAAATCTTACATAATAAAAAAAATTAGATGCTATAAATTTCATCCAGAAAGCATGGACACTCGTAGATAAAAAAAAAACATCAGAAAATGTTTCAGTCATGTGGGGTGGACAGAGACTGAGGTAGAAAACGAAGAAGATGAATATGCTGTAGCAGAGTGGTTGATGTTACAACATCAAAGTCAAGAACTAACCCAACTATTAATGTTTTTCGTGTGGAGTGTCTGTCTCCCATCGGACGCGTCCCCAGGTGGTGGATAGGGGAACGCCCTAACCGGTCCCAGGATCGGCGGGTAGGTGGGAAATAAAATACCACCCGCGAACCAAAACAGACTAAGGTATGGTAACCCTAACAGAAGAGTCTCTGGTCCTTCAAGTCTGGGGTTGGGCGTAGGGCTAACAACCCTACCCTGGAAAAAAAGAATTGTTACGAAAGCTGAAAAAACAAAAACCGGACGGACCTTATGTAGACGATCTCGCAAAAGAAAAAAGGATATTCGATTTGGATCATGGAACGTGAGAACATTGTACTCTGCAGGAGCGATGAGGTGTCTCTCAGACACTCTTAACAAATATAATATGGGCATAACAGCTATACAGGAGATGCGATGGAAAGGGACCGGTACTCTCCAGAAGAATCTGAATACCATATATTATAGCTGCCATCAAACTCAACATATCTTTGGGGTAGGCTTTGTAGTTAGCAAAAGAGTTAATAACCTAATAATAGGTTTTGACGGTATAGATCATAGAATATGTGTTCTAAGAATACGTGGAACATTCTTTAACTACAGTCTTATAAACGCACATGCCCCCACTGAGGATAAAACAGACACAGAAAAAGAAGAATTGTATGAGAAACTAGAACAAACATATAGACAGTGTCCCAATAATGACGCTAAGTTGATTATCGGAGACATGAATGCCAAGGTAAGACAAGAGGAGATGTACAGACCAACCATAGGACCTTACAGCATACACAAAGAATGTAATGATAATGGGACGAGACTTGTAAATCTCGCAGCATCTCTGAACATGACGATCAGTAGCACATACTTTCAACATAAACGTATAAATAAAGTGACATGGACATCGCCAGATCATCAGACCCAAAATCAGATAGACCACATACTGATTGATTTAAGACATGGATCAGATATACTAGACTGCAGAAATTATAGAGGTGCAAATATTGACTCCGATCACTATCTCATAGCTGGACGTCTCAGAGCACGTATATCAAACGCCAGGAACGATCAAACTAAACCAAAAATAATCAAATATAATGTTGATAAATTAAAGTGTACTGAAGTCGTAAGAAACTTCCAAATATGCTTAGATCGTAAAATATTGGAACATCCAAGAAGTGAGGTATATCCCACTGAACTTAACACAAATTGGGAGTTTATGAAGACCACGCTCAAAGAGACCGCAGAGGAAGTGCTGGGTGAAGTACCCAAAGGACAGCGAAACAACTGGTTTGATGAGGATGCCAACGAGTAACGAAAGAGAAGAACGACGCGTATATGAAAATGATCAACAGAAGGACTAGGAGCAATGTTGAAGAATATCGAGTAAAGAGACGAGAGGAAAAAACAAAAACACAAACAGAAAAAGCGGCAACAAATCAATAAAGAGTTCGAAGAAATGGAAAACCTTAATAGAGAACACGAATACAGAAAATTTTACAAACAGGTTAACACAAAAAGAAAAGTTTTCAAACCACAAGCGAATCAAGTCAAGGCCCTTAACGGAATTCTTTTAAACGAGAGAGTGGAAGTACTAGAAAGATGGCAGGAACATTTTAGTACGCTACTTAATTGAGAAAGTAGAGCTGAACTTCATATACAGCTGACAGAGGCTTAAAAATAGATGATTCAACTACTATACTATACATAAATTATAAATGAAATATTAGATATATAGATAACTTATGTAATATAAGGCGAGAGGAAAAAATATTAGTGTATAACATTATTCTATTAAATAACTCGAGAATTTAGTTTTGCATTAACTACAAATAACTACATTATAATAAGGGCAAGCAAATTCTAATAACATACTATAATAACAATAAACATAGTCTCTGTCTTAATAATCGTACGTGCTTACGAGTTACGGTGGTATTCCCAGCTATTAAGTGGCAAAACAAACAGCTCATCATAAATTCGGTGACAATGACTATCCTATTCTGTTACTGATTGAGCGAACGATTCCCATCGTTCCATATTGTCACGGTCACGTTAACATATCGAATGCCGATTCGAATACCAGTGCGTTTTACGTTATAGTCACACTGTGACAAAAGTAATAGGCACTTTGTTGTAACCTATTATTGAGAAAACGAATACTTATTGGTAATAGTGTTATTTATCCGAATACGTTATATAACGCCCATCTTTAAGCTGAAGGTAGATATGATATAGAAATAGAACACGAGGATACTGAACTACCAACTTTGGAAGAAATAAACAAAGCAATTCAGTCTCTAGCCAGAAACAAGTCACCCGGAGCAGACAACCTACCAGCAGAAATATTTAAATGTGGCGGTCAAACATTTGTAACCCTCCTTCACAAACTACTAATACAGGTATGGCAAGAACTCGCGTTACCAGAAGATTGGAATACTGGAATTATATGCCCCATAGACAAAAAAGGAAACGTTATTGAATGTTCCAACTTTAGAGGGATTTCCCTTCTTAATACAGCATACAAAATTGTGTCCCTGATACTTAACGAACGACTGGCACGGTATACTGACAATATAATAGGATCCTATCAAAGAGGCTTCTTGAAAAACAAATCTACCATTGATCACATATCATCTATCAGACAAATAGAAAAAACGATGGAGTACGACATAGACTGCCATTACATCTTCGTAGACTTTAAGGCAGCGTACGATACTATTGACAGGTCCCAATTATATTCGGCGATGATCGAATTAGGAATACCAAAAGGTTTGGTAGAATTAATTAAAATGACAATGATGAAAGTCGAATGTAAAGTGCGCGTACAAGGGGATGTTTCAAAACCATTTAAAACCAACAGAGGAAAAGTTATGAGAGATTCGGGAATAAACTTAAAAGGTACGATATATATAGTATACAAATAATGGCATACGCTGATGATATCGTCATAATTGGAAGAACCCAAAATGAAGCAGTGGAGGCTTTCACACGTATTAAAAATGCCGCAGAAAACATCGGACTTCTGATTAACATCCAGAAAACTAAATATATGCCGGCCATATCAAGAATTCAACAAAATAACTTAGAGGTGCAACACGAAACGATAGAAATGGTAGAAGAATTCTGCTACTTAGGATCACTGGTAGACTACAAAAATAACACATCCAACGAGATAAAAAAAAGGAATATGCGTGGCTAACCGCTGTTATTTCGGCCTGGGCCCTCAACTAAGAGCGAGAAGTATGTCAATAGCAACAAAGTGCAAACTTTATAAAACAATAATACGCCCAGTGCTCACATACGGATCGGAAACATGGACAATGACGACCCGAGATGAAGAGTTACTACGAGTCTTTGAAAGAAAAGTATTGAGGACCATATTTGGCGAAGTAAACGAACAGGGTCTGTGGAGAAGGCGATATAACTTTGAACTCTATAGACTTTTTGGTGATGCAGATATTCTGAAGACCATCAAAATAAACCGCCTAAGGTGGGTGGGCCACGTTATGCGGATGGATGAGAGTGATCCCACTAAAATAACTATGCTAAACAGGCCGGTCGGAAGAAGAAGAAGGGGGCGACCTAAACTCAGATATCTGGACAATGTACATGAAGATCTGAGGGAGATTGGAGTGAGGGGCTGGAGAAGACAGACACTCGATAGGGAAGGATGGAAGAATGTTTTGAAGCAGGCCAAGGCTCACGAAGGGCTGCAGCACCAACTGATGACGATTAATGTTTTAGAAAACTACATATTTACATGCATGCACAGTATTATTGTTATCTGATATAACAAGATTGGCTAATAACGAGGTAATTAGTCTGCCATTTCAGTTATTTTTATAGAGAGAGTCTACTGTATATGCCAACATTGATATATGGAGCAGAAAATTGAATTTTAAACAGAAGACATCAGAGTAGGATACAAGCACCAGAGATGAAATGCCTCAGAAGAACAATAGGGGCAAGAAGGTCAGACAGACCCCAAAATGAAAAAATAAGACACAGACTTAAAAATTAAACCATTACTTGACATAATCATCATCATCATAAGTGGCTTGAAAATCCATTGTGGATCTTGGCCTGTTCACAAAGAAGTCGCCATTCCTGTCGATTCCTGGCAATGTCCCTCCACCGTCTGACCCTTAGAATCTGTAGGTCTTCTTCCACATCATCAATCCACCTCCTTTGTGGTCATCCTCTACTTCTTGTGCCCTCTGGTTTTAAAAATGTTAATCTCTTCATGTATTTGCGATCTGACATCCTAGCAATGTGTCCAGCCCATCTAAGTCTCTACACTTTAATGAATTTCACAATATCTGGATCAGTGTATAACTGATATAGGTGAAAGTTGTATCTTTGATGCCATAGCCCATTTTCATTCACGGCCCCAAAAATCTTAATAAAGATTTTTCTAAAAATGCAAAGAAGTATTCCATTGACTTAACATAATAAAGGATAAAAATTAGCATGGTTGAGTCATATAAGATAAATGGACAGTAACAGGAAAGTGAAAAGAGTGTTTCAAGCTAAACCAATAGGGAAAAACTGAAAAGGCAGACCAATAAAAGAGTGGAACAGTGACATAGCAGAGCCATTACAAAATATGGCAAATCTTGGCAAAAAGTGACACAAATGGCAAAGAACAAAAAAGATTAAAGAAAATTCAACAACAGCAGAAGGGGAACAATTGATTATGTATGTACTATGTAAAACATAAGATGCCACAAGAAAATAGCTTCAGAATTTACTTACATATTTTTTTAAGTTATCTCTAACTTTAAGTATAAAAGAAATGTTATTACCTGATCACAAATAAACTGGGCATTTTGCAGTAAGGTATCCTCTATGTTGGTATATTCTCCACTCCCTTCAATATTTTCCACTAAATCTTCATATTTAGGATTTTCCCAATGATGATCACTGATAAATTCTATTACATATTTGGATAGCTTAACTTTCTCTTTAATTTTATTGAATATTGGTTGGTATTGTGCAGATGGTTCCATTAAGTAATACTGAGCATACTGAGTGGTAAATCCAACCCTAATATTTTCTCCTAACATAATTATCACAATATAATATAAAGAATATTAAATAAAAAATAACACAATAATATTAAATACAATTACCTCCATCCAAACCAGCCATCCACCATTCATCAATTGGTCCAAGATCATGTGCAGGAATTGCATTATCTGTGTTTGGATTTTCATCATATACAGGTTTAATATACCCAGAAAAATACAGTGGAACATTTTTTTCAACCAACCCAGAATCAAAATAGCATAAATGGCCATTCTTGTCATAAACAGTAAAGTAAGTAATCTAAAAATATAAATACAGCAAATAGAGTACATCCATGTTTCGGTACAGAGAAACAGAAAGAGTACAGTTTTTAAATGGATGTTTCTCAATGGAGCCAGCAAGCACTATATTAATAAAGAATATAGATGCATATATATGCCTCTATATTCTTTGACAGTACAATATTTTCCACCAAACTTCTCTTAATACCTACTACATTGAATGCATTTCATTTAAGGGCTGTTGTTAAATGTTAATTGAGCAATATAATTTGCCCTAAACTGAGTATTGCCCAATTGGGCAACTGTTAATTTAACGAATATGATTCAACAACGATATAGTTCCTTAGTAGTACTAGTATATTTAGAAAAATCCAAAAAACAAGTCTTACCTGATGTGTAGGAATATCTTCTTCATTATACCCTTCCTCATTACCGGTAAATAGAGAAATCTTGGGATCTGTTAGAGCTATGAATTCTTCGTTTGAATTATTTGGGTGTCCACTATACAAGTGAACAGAATCCGAAAACTGTTTACACAAATTACATCGATCTGGTTTTTTATATGTTTTTTTAACAACAACATTTTCTTCCGATTCATTGTTTTCTGTTTTTACTTTTTTAGTAACATTACCATCATCATGTTCTTGGACCATTTCTGCTTCATTTTGGGGGGTCATATTATCAATAATAATTCAAACATAAAATTAGCACACATATACAACACTCCATATAATAGGGTTAGATTATCTAAATGGTTTAGGCGGGAAAACTTTCGGGCTAAAGGCTAAATAAAAATAAACCCTCTTTTAGCGAAGTTACGAAGTTACCCGAAGAAAATTTCTTGGCTTTGTTCTTCTTCTTCTTCTTTTTATGTAGACATGACTGTCTATTTTTCAATGTGCCTCCAGCAATTTGTGGGAACCGTCTTCTGTCGTCTTTACTTTAGATGGGAGTACAGGGAGTATTGCATTGGGGCACAGTATATTGCTTAAAAAGAAGCTTTTTTAGCAATATACTGTGCCGTGGGAGTAAACCACTCATACGACATGGCAAGTATACGCAAGAACGCAAGTGACGATTATTCGCCAGGTACACGAGTAGTTTGAGTCCGGCTTAAGAGTGGAAGATATAAAAAGAAGAATTTGAGGCTCTAGCTAGGGTTATGAATATTAGTAAACAAAAGTTTTTCTTTTATGTGCTTGTATTTGTATTTTGATTTTGATTGTATAATAATAGACGAAAAATGGAACAACATGCTAAATTACCTATGTATACATTTGATAAGGAACTTGCTTCAGCATTTCAAACTGATTGTGAAATTTTGTTAGATGAGTTTGAATTATACCAGTCTTTTAGAATTGAAGATTTTCAGAAAGTGTGGCACAACCACAGATTTTCAAATGTTTTTGCGTATGTACCTTTCTTGTTCTAAAAAAATTTATTTTTTATATTTTGTGACAATAATATGTAATTACATTAAATAATATATATCTTATTCTGTTAATATTCTTGTTATAATATTTTTAAGAGTATAATATTGTTTTAGAGGTCAAACATATGCTTTACTATTAAAGGACTTCTGTGAAAACTGCTTTTATATTGTCAAAAAGTACATCTATTTTCCCAGGACTTTGTACACACAAGTGGGAGCATTTTATTTGTTAGCTATTTTATACTACAAGCAACCAGTAAGGTTTGTATTTTATTAGCCTACTATAACCATTAATGACAAACTATTTAACTATAGTATTGATACACCAGACTTTTTAAATGAATTTTGGACGATTTTCACATTTGGTCCCATTGAAGATAGCTTCAAATGGGTTTGACAGAATGAAATATTGGTGTTTTGCAGTGTTGAAATTTACATTACAAACGAAACATACGCAGTTAAAAGCAATAAGATATTTAAAAACTAATATTTAATGATTACCAAAAAAAGAAAAAGTAAATAGTTTTAAAACAGTTTTTAACAGTAAATAGTAAAATGTCAGTATAAATAAGAAAATTTAAAAGGCATCTGTTGCAATCTGGCAGCGGGTGGTATGAGGGTTCTGACTCTATTGCCAAATCTATCCGCTAACCTACCAAATGGCAATTGCCAAAAAAAATTTCTGATAATTTATTACAACTACAGTACAATTCCTCTTAACCGGTCACCTGGGAACTTCATACCTGACCGGTTGCCGTTTTGGCCGGTTAATCCGAAGTGTACTTTACTTGCATACATTACATATAAAAAAAATTACGAAGTATGTTTTACATATTTATTTACATATTACATATGTATTTACATGCATTAATGTTCTGCATACATACATCAACAAATATGTATAAGTTTAAAAAGTAATTATTTTTTAAAAAAGTCTGTAATTTTCTTCTGCTTTTTAACCTTCAGTGAATTTCTGTATGCGACATCCCTCCATTTTCTAATCACCAGGACGTCTAATGCTGTTGACTCATGCTGCTGCTCAATGTATCTTAATGCAATTTCCATTGCATTTTTGGCTTCTTCGTGAGAAACCGTTTCCTCTTCTTCAACATCACTATTCTCATCATATTCCTCTGGTTCTTTGGTTGCTACATCTATGATTTCGTCATCATTCAAAAATTCATTTTCAAGCTGATCATCACAGTTTATCATCCAATTTTCCACATCTTCTGACTGTAATGCTTTGTTACCCGATAACTTTTGAAGGTCTTGTAGAGTGGATTTGTTTTCTTCTTCTTCAGTCCCTGCAATATTCGAGATCACAACTAGATTCTCAACATCTGGCCAAAGTTTTCTCCAAGATTTAACAAATGTTGAAGAGGGCATTTCTTGAAATGCTGTAGCTAACATATAGATAATGTCCTTGATATTGATATTTTTGATGACTTCTAAAAGACCTTTGTCTTCACTCTCCGAATGTTGCAGAATTTCAGAAACAAGTTTACGCCTGTATCGTCTCTTTAAGCTTTCGATCACTCCTTGGTCCATCGGTTGCACTAAGCTTGTCACATTAGGAGGAAGAAAAACTAATTTTATGTCATCTACATCGCAGTCATGAGGATGGGTTGGAGCATTGTCTACCACTAGAACTGCTTTGATAGGCAGGTTTACACTTTTTAAATCTTTTTTAACTTTTGGAACAAACTCTAAATTAAACCACTCTTTAAAAAAGTCTGAATTCATCCACGCTGATTTTTGTGACTTATAATAGACCGGAAGGGAAGATGGATTCAAGTTTTTGAATGCCCGTGGTTTAGCAGACTTGCCAATAACGAACAGAGGAATTTTGTGAGTCCCTGTTGTATTCGAACAAACGGCCACTGTAATACGTTCTTTGTTCTTTTTAAAGCCAGAAGCAGACTGTTCATGACTGCCTGGAAAAGTTGTTTCTGGTAACATTTTAATGTTTAGCCCAGTCTCGTCCATATTATAAACTTGTTCTGGAGATAATTTCTCTGTTTCAATGATTTCACCAAACTTAATCTTGAATTCTGTCGCACCAGAAGAATCAGCAGACAGTTTTTCTCCACTTACGTGTGCGAAATGAATTCCGTGTCGCTTCTTCCATCGATTAAGCCAACCATCACTTGCCACAAATTCGCTTTCATTATTAATCTTCTGGTGGATAGCCAGAGCTTTTTCTTTCAAAATTGGGCCGCCAATCGGTGTACCTCTTCGACGTTCCTGAAGAAACCAGATCCACAAAGCTTCATCGACGACCTTGCAAATCGGTTTTTTTCTCGTACAACGGCTACCCAGATTTTTATCAGATTCCATTTTCGAGCAAAACTCCTCAATGGACCGTCTATCTCTTCGCCAGTCATTTAAAGTGCTTTTTCCAACATTAAATTCTGTATATATTTTCGCCACGGATTCACCATTATCAATCCGCTTTAGCACTTTTAAACGTGTCTCCATCGAAACCACAATTCGTTTACGCTTCGCACTCATTGGGAAAGTATGTTATGTACGTGCGTACCAACAGCAGAAACAAAACAAACTGATCAAAAAAGACCAAAACGACAAGTACACAGTTTATCTGTTTATCGCCTCGCCTCGCCTCGGGGCGTTCGGGGAAGCCGAATCGCCTCGCCGCGCCGGTTGATTTCTTGGAATTCGGCTGTTGTAAACAGGCCGGTTAATCCGTCGACCGGTTAATGCGAAGCCGGTTAAGAGGAATTATACTGTAATATCAAACGAAACAAATATTACTTCATTAATATTTTATATAAGGTATAAAATTGCAGAATCCATAAAATAATATGATAAAAATGTACCTTTTAAAAGCTTTATCTCTTTGTATTTGAAGCATATAACATATACATTATAAGAACATGGCAACACTGCCAACGCAATATTTCGTTCTGTGAAACTTAATTGACAGCTAACTTGAGGGTATCTTCAATGGGACCAAATGTGAAAATCGTCCTAAATTTTAGTTCTTAGTACCTCCTGAACAAACTAGGAAACATACTTGGGTTTACCTTGACAATAGACATCTAATATATAAAATTTCCCTGTCACAATGTTAGTTACCGTACTCCTCGGAAACGGCTTTACCGATCTTTACCAAATTTTATATGCGCATTCAATAGGTCTGAGAATCGGCTACTATCTATTTTTCATAAGTACCCCTAAGTGATAAGGTTTGTTCACCCTTAATTTTTTTTTTTTTTTTAATTTTTCGACACAATTTTTTAATTTTGTTTTTTTATAATGTTGCATTAAAAAATACATCTAATATATAAAATTTCCCTGTCACAATGTTAGTTACCATACTCCTCCGAAACGGCTTTACCGATCTTTACCAAATTTTATATGCGCATTCAATAGGTCTGAGAATCGGCTGCTATCTATTTTTCATACCCCTAAGTGATAAGGGTTGTTCACCCTTAATTTTGTTTTTAATTTTTAGACGAAATTTTTTATTCCTGTTTTTATTATAATGTTGCATTAAAAAATACATCTAATATATAAAATTTCCCTGTCACAATGTTAGTTACCGTACTCCTCTGAAACGGCTTTACCGATCTTTCTGATTACTGATCTGAAAATCAACCACCAATTTGCATACCCCTAAGTGATAAGGGTTGTTCACCCTTAATTTTTTTTTTTTTATTTTTCGACAAAATATTTTATTTTTGTTTTTTTTTTATAATGTTGCATTAAAAAATACATACAACCCTAAAATTTTACTTTTTTATCATCAACCCATATTTTTTATGGCTATTTTAGTAATTTAATCATTATTCACCTCGCTCGATAACTGATCAATTACAGTGTTTTTAACTGTACTTCCATTAAAAATCTTAAATGTTTTTTTAGAAAATAAACATTTATTTTTATTATTAAAGTTTAATCCTGATATATATATATATATGCTTAGTGTTATCAATCTTAGATTCTTCAAATTTGCTGCACCTTTACTGGTGAGTGAAATGCCACACTATACCATAAACTGAAGCCTGTTTTCCTTCTCCTGTTTTACTACATAAGACTTCTCTCACTCCCTACATAGTTTTCGGCCATCCATGATTATTGTTTATGTATCAAGTGTAGTAGTAACATTCACAATTATCAATTTTCTATTTCTGTGTAACTCTCATAATAACTATTAATTGTTACTATTTTATTCATAATAATACCAGCATCATATATAGGCAGTCCACGTCATATTGAAGACATATACAGGATGGTATGGCATACGTGCGCGTATATGGACAACCGTGTTTATTAATCACGTTCACATGTAATCCAAAATGGCCAGAGATTACATCTTTGCTATTGCCTGGCCAAAATGCAATACATCGTCATGACATTACAGCACGTGTATTCAGACAAAAGTTGAAGTCTCTAATAAGTTACATTACTAAATTACATGTATTCGGTCCCACACATTGCTGGCTGTATTCAGTTGAATGGCAAAAGAAGAGATTACCTCATGCGCACATTTCTGCGGAAATTCCAGATCCGTCTACTGACCAAGTGCTGTTTGATATTGTTACAGCAAACATGATCCATGGTCCATGTGGTACTCTCATCGTTCATCGCCTTGCATGGCAGATGGAAAATGTACTAAAAATTTCCCTAAATATTTCACTAATGATACGATAACAAATACCGACGGATATCCAATATATCGTCGAAGAAGTCCCGATAATGGCGGATACTCATTTATTAAAAATATCAGCAACACAGACATTGACATTGACAATCGTTGGATGGTGCCGTATTCACCTCTTCTAAGCAAGACATACAATGCTCATATTAATGTTGAGTTTTGCTGTTCTGTGAAGAGCATCAAATATATTTGCAAGTATGTCCATAAAGGCAGTGATATGGCTGTGTTTAGAGTAGAAAATACTAATGTAAATGCTCCACCAATTAATAAAAACGATGAAATTACGCTCTACCAAATTGGACGGTACATCAGCTCCAATGAAGCTGCTTGGCGTATTTTCGGTTTTCCAATTCATGAACGGGATCCAGTAGTTGTTCACTTAGCCGTCCATCTTGAAAACGGTCAGCGTGTATTTTTCACAAACGAGACAGTGATTGATCGTGCTACAAATCCACCTAAAACTACACTCACAGCATTTTTTGAATTGTGTAATAGTATGGATGATTTTGGTGCATTTGCAAGAACATTACTCTATTCGTAAGTACCACAATATTTCACATGGGCTCGAACAAAAAAATGA